TAAATTTTGTCAGCAGTCTTTTCTGTATCAATTAGGATGATCATGTAATTCTTGTATTGTTTCATTAATGTGGTGGATTACATTGATTGTTTTACTTATGTGATACCATTCTTGCATATTAGGAATAATATTAATCTCAAATGCAATCAAAATACTGGTGAAGATCATTTAAAAATGGCTAGAACAGTACATACATATGGAACTTCCAGAAATTCCATCAGGATTTAGAACAGGCTATGGCACCAGGGATATCATTGCTGATGTCAGATGGATCCCAGCTGAAAGTAAAGAATACCAGAAGAATGTCTATTAATGCTTTATTGACGATGCAAAGGCATTTGACTGTGTGGATCATAACAAGCTATGGCTAACATTGAAAAGATTGATGAAAGACTGAAGTTGTTAACTATTTCATCTTCTTGGAGCCACAATCCTTGGTACCAATAGTCAGGAAATCAGGAGACAGATTGCACTGGGAAAGTCTGCAATCAGGGACCTCTCCATATTATTGAGGAGCAATGATGCTGGTTTGAGGACTTCAGTAAATCTTATTTAGGCCATGGTCTTTCTGATCACTTGCTGTGTATCTGAAAGCTGGACAATGAGTAAGGACGACAGAAGAAAAATTGATGCCATTGAACAGTGACTGCCTCAATGGGCTTTAGTGTGTCAGAATGTGTAGGAATGGCATAGGGGAGGACAAGGTTCAGATCTGTTGCTCATAGGATCACTGTGGGTTGTATTCAACTTGATAGCACTTAACAATTTTGAATCCTACTTGTATTATGCTTTTGATATGTTATTGGATTCTATTGGCTAGGATTTTTTTATGGATTTTTGTGTCTATGTGTATAAAGGATACTGGTCTATAGTTTTCTTTTTTAATGATATCTTTACTTGGCTTTGGTATCAGGGCCTGCTTCCTTCATAGAATGAATTTAGGAGTGTTCTTTCTTTTCCTATATCCTGAAGTAGTGTAAGTAGGATTTGTGACAGCTCTCTGAAAATTCAATAAAATTCACTAGTAAAGATATCTATCAGGTCCAGGAATTTTTTTGTTAGGAGTTTGGTTTGCGGTGGTTTTTTCTTTTACCTTTTCAGTTTCTTGGTTTGTGATGGATCTGTTCAGGTATTCTAATTCAGGCATGTTACCTTGGGAAAGATATGAAATTATAAGAATTTGGCCATTTCCTCTAGATTTTAAAATTTGTTAGAGCATTGCTTTTCATAATATTCAGTTATTACCTTTTTTATTTTGGTTAGTTCTGTTCTGACATTGCCCATTTTATTTCTCATTTGAATTATTTGTATCTTTTATTTCTTTTCCTTTGTTAGGACTGATTTTATAGACACTTTTGAAGAACCAACTATTCCTGGTCTTGCTGATAGTTTCAATTGTTTTCTATTCTGTTTATTTCTTCCCTTATCTTTATAATTTCCTTTTCCCTAAAAGTTGTGGAGTTTTCTTGCTGGTTCCCCACCCCCATTGTTGCATTGTTTTTATTTTTTAAAAAACAATCCGTAATTTTATTTATTGGCTTTTCAGTAAGTTTAAATCCTCAAAGGATACAGCATTGCATGGATTCTGTATCCGAGGGTCTTAGTAGGAAGGTTGTTCTGAAACTTGGCCCTAACCACACCACTGTTTCCATGGCCATGAGATACTTTTCCTCAGATTTCTCTGGATTTTTCAGGTTTGCCACCAGGAATCACTGTATTATTTTTTTGCTTTGTAAACATAAGGCACATCTCTTGACTAAATAGAATTCTGTTTTGTCTCAGGTATAAACACCTTCAATTTTAAGAAGTGCTCCCTCTGGTTCCGGAGTTGTCATTTATAGTCAGCAAAAAGTGGCTTTGCACCAAAGCTTCCCAGGCATCTTTTTGTGACTTAGAAATCCTGCTCCCATTGGGGTGAGACTGAGAAAAATTGGATAAATTATGTATACTGCATTGAAACAGATGAGGGAGAGAACTGTTTAAAAGCGATATATGATTGGGTATTATGGTTATGACAAGAGTCCAGAATGAAGGTTGCATAGTGGACTATACTAAGAGACAGGTGGGGATTGTATGCCAATGAAGGAATTTTTCTTTTACTTTTCAAAGAGGAGAGTGAACTGTGGGTGGGGGGAGAGGAGGGCAGGGAGAAAAATGCAATAATGAATGAGTGGAAACCCAAAATCTCTGTAAACATTCACTAAAATTAATAATTTTTTTAAGGAGAGCTCTGGTGGCCTAGTGGCAAGAAGCTGCACTGCAATCTCAGAGATATGTGGTTCGAATTCACCAGATGCTCTGCCAGGGAATGAGAGGCAATCTCCTCCTGTACCAGTCAGATCTGATTTGACAGTACAGACACACACAAAATAATAAAATAAAAATAAATTTTTAAAAATTTAAAAAAATCCTGCTCCCAGAAGGCCTTTACAGGCTCCAAGATGGTGGGAAAAGGGAATCTAAGGTGTATGCATTGCCTTGTGGGATGCTGCATTGTGCTCAATAGTGAAAAATTTTGAGACACTTAATGTCCATCAATAAAACAATGGCCATCTATTAGAGGTATAACCCAATGGCCTGATCAAGGAACATTATTCAACACTGAAAAGGAGTATGTCAGTCTTGTAAGGTCTATGTGATGTAAATAGTGTGTATCTGACTACTAACTCAAAAGTTTGCAGTTTGAATCCACTTAGGCCATGCAAGAAAGGCCTGGCAAACTACATAAAGGTTACAGCCAAGAAATCCTTATGGATTAAGACATGGACTCCGAGTTGACATCAACTCACCAACAATGTGTTAGTCCTTTCAATAGCATGTGAGTAAATCTTTGAGAAATGCTCTTGAGTGAATGAAATGCATTGATGAACAGTATGGATTATGTGATACCATTCGTGAAAAAAAGGAAAGCAAATACCATATATTTCCCACAGACCCTTATGTATAAGTGAATGTAAAGCAAAAGGTTTGGAAGAATGAACACCAAAAACTACAAAGTTTATACATAAGTAATGAAGGAAGGAGACTGGGATAAGGCTAGTCTCATAACCTAAAGGGAGCTTTAATCTTGTCTGCAGTATTTTGATTTTATGCTGAATACATCAATAGCCTATCTAGTTTGAATTACATAATTAAAATTTAAAAATATTAAAGAAAGAGAGAAAACAAGGCTTATGGGCTGGAACAATCGGCAGGTTTGAGGAGTCTCTCTCCCTGCCCTGCCCACCCATCAGGCCCTCCAACTTCTATATCCTGCACGTATGCCTCCTTTTCTCCAACCACACACAGGAAGTCTAGTTGAAATCTCAACTGAAATGTGTCCTAAACAGCATTAAGCATTAAGAAAGAAGGAGCTGTTTTGCAAGCAGCAGGAGAACCCGTTATCCCACAGGCAGTTGGACTTCACCCTGGGGTTGGGATGTTTGAGAAAGGTCCCTGGAACAAGTAGGGTGTGTGTGTGTGTGTGTGTGTGTCTGGTGTCTCTTAGATGTGGTGGTTTTAGCAGTGCCCTCTAGAGGTCACCTATAGGATGAGGCACTGGAGGGTAACTTGTATGACCTGCTTTGTTTAGAATATATCCTTTCCTTTCAGAGCCAAGTTCACAAAGAGTCACTGTCCATGGTAACAAAAAGCATGTCATTGAAGAAGAGGGTTGAATGGATGGTCTCTCTTAGGGCCTATGAGCTCCTTCTCTCAGCATGTGACAGGCACACCAGGGAGATGTCTCAGGTGCAATGATTTCTTATGTTCTTTGGGCAAGATGTGGTCCAGTCAAAGGAGACAGGGTGAGTGGCAAGGAAGTAGCTGAAGGTGGGAGGTATGGCTAGATCAAGGCATGGGATCAGGACATGGGAGCCAAGGCTCTCAAGCACCTAGGAAGATGGACAGTCTTGTAAGTCCTAGAGTACTCACTTTACCTGAGGACAAAAGCCCCTCTGTCAGTTTTTCTCAAGAAGAAACTGTCCCCTCTTCTAATTCAGAATCACCCTAAAGTTTAGTTTAAATCCTCCCAGTTGCTCAGATCTCATCCCATAGAGGCCCTAGGCTTCTTCACCCAACTGACCACTAACCACAACCCTCTCCTGTTTCCTCAGTCCAAAAGCAAAGGGCAGAGATGTGGAGAGAGCTAAAAGCCAAGAAGGGGAAGAGAGAGGAAGTGACCTTGGTCCTGAGCCTCCAGCCCTCAGGATCCTCCTTCCTGCGAAGCTCAACGGTCACCAGCCAGGTTTCCTGTCCCTTGAGTCTTGACAAGGCTGTGGCCACCCACTGGGGTTGACCCCTGGGACAGGCTGCTGGTGGGATGGCCTCCTGAAGCTGATCAGGTCATCAGTCCTCCAGCTCGCCCCTCCCCCGAAGCAGGGTAATTTAATTTCTCATCTTTCTTTAGGATGACGATTGGCCCTTTCAAAGGGATCTTGGAAGCTTAATGTATCCAGATATTGGGAGGAGGGTTAGCTAGCTGTACCCACTAATGACAGCCCTGGTCTAGGCACACAACGGGGAGCTGAGAATACCTGAATTGGGGGTACTAAGTTGAAAGGTCAGGAACAACCCTGTCCCCTCCTTGTCTTCTTTCTGGTCTCACATCAAGGGTACCCCAGTCCTAGTTGTTGCTGTTATACACCATTGCATTACTTTTCTATTCATAGAGATCCCTTGTGACGGAGTAGAACTGCCCCTACTCCCCACAGGGTTTTGGGGGAGGAGGATGCATTCTTCCTGGGCCACCCGCCCCCTGCCCTGCCCCCTCTCCAGGGTGGAAGGACATAAAAGCCCAGACTCAGTGAAGTGGTATCATCAATGCCAGGTGAGCTTTGGAGGCACGGCCCTCGGAGCTGCGTGATTGCAGCTGGTGAGGGTGGGCGGCACTGTGGACCTCTCTCTAGGACGCATGGGTTTCAGGGATAGACAGGGCTGATGAGGTGGGGCTTGGGTGGGGAGAGAGTGGTGCAGGAGAAGAGGGGTGCTGGGGATCTGAGCACTGACAGGGCTGGGGGCTCCTTGCAGAAATGAAGCTGCTCCTGGCCCTGACAGGACTCCTGGCCATCTTCTCACACTCTGAGGGCACCACTTCAGGTAACAACTCAGACAGGAGGCAGGAGGTTGCTGTTGGGATACTTCTGACTCCCAGGGGCTCCTTTTTGTGGTCTGGATAGGGGGCTTGGGGATCCACCCTTACCTTGTGACCCCTGCTCTGGGCAGCTCCCCTGGGAGAGGTGGAGACCTCAGTGGTGCTGACCTGCATGGAGGAAGCCAAGCGTCTAGTGGACAAAGCTTACAAGGAACGACGGGAAAGGTGGGGACAGTTCTGGGCAAGGATGCTCTTGGGCCTCTTGGAGCAGGAAAGGCAGTGAGGAGATTATCAGTTCTTGTTTCTGAATGTGGGAACATCTTCAAAACCATCCTCCCCCCGGCCTTGCCTGTGTCTCACCCTACACTCAGAGCCTATCTAGAAAGAAAAGCCCTCCTCCCGCCTGCGTCTGGGTGATGCGGCTCCAGGCCCGTGGTCCAGCTTCCACCGGGGATATGTCTGTGCTGTGTCATGTGTTCATCTTCTGGGCTGGGTTCACTCAGCGCCTGTTCACCACTTCTCCAGCCCTCACCCTCCCTTCTCCAAATAGCATCAAGGAGCGCCTTCGCCAGGGCTTGGCCAGCCCCATGGAGCTCCTGTCCTACTTCAAGCAGCCAGTGGCGGCCACCAGGACAGCTGTAAGGGCCGCAGACTATATGCACGTGGCCCTAGGTCTGCTGGAGCAGAAGCTTCAGCCTCAGCTGCGGAGACCCTTCAATGTCACTGGTACTGGTGCCCCTCCCACAACAGCTTCCTGTGTGACCCCAGTCACCCCCCCCCCCATCTCCTCCCTCTAGGAAGTGTCAGGGGCTTCCGAGCATCCCTTCCACGTCCTCAGACTGGATCCCCACCCAGTGTCTCTGAGGTCTTCCAGCTTCATAGAGCATGGGCTGGGAGGGTTGCCCTCAGCAGTCACCTCCCTCCACCCCCTCACCCCTCTCCGGGCAGATGTGCTGACTCCGTCCCAGCTGAGTCTGCTGTCCAAGTCCAGCGGTTGCGCCTATCAGAACGTGGGGGCGGCGTGCCCTGAGAAGGACAAGTATCGCACTATCACAGGGAAGTGCAACAACAGGTGCGGCCGTCTTGGGGAGACGCGGGAGTCCAAGGTGGGCCGGTGTCACCTGGTGCTCAGCGCCCTGTCCCCTCCGCAGGCGCAGCCCCACGCTGGGGGCCTCCAACCGCGCCTTCGCGCGCTGGCTGCCGGCCGAGTACGAGGACGGCTTCTCGCTGCCCTACGGCTGGACGGCCGGGGTCAAGCGCGATGGCTTCCCGGTGCCCCTGGTGAGCGCTGTCGGGCGGTGGGCGCGAGGCTCATCCCCAGGTCCCCAGGCCCCCGACCCTTCCGCCTGATGAGGCTCTGTGCCCCCTGCAGGCTCGCGCCGTCTCCAACGCGATCGTGCGCTTCCCCACGGAGCAGCTGACCCCGGACCAAGACCGCTCGCTCATGTTCATGCAGTGGGGCCAGTTCATCGACCACGACCTCGACTTTACGCCCGAGCCCGCTGCCAGGGTCACCTTCATCTCTGGCCTCAACTGTGAGACCAGCTGCCTGCAGCAGCCGCCCTGCTTCCCGCTCAAGGTGCTGCGTCCTTCCGGCCACGGCGCAGCCCGGGCGGGAGGGGGTGGGCGTGGAGCCCGAGTTGCCCAAGTTTCCTTCCTCAGCCTCGGTGGGCAAGTGTAGCTCCGCCCACTTACCTTCTCATGTCACTGTTAATGCCTTTCTCTCCCTACAAGCCCCCCACTGCTCCTCTGAGCAGGCCAGCCAGGAATTCCCTTCTGTTACTTTTCCTCCCAGGGATGGTTTTTATCTATTGAGCTGCAGGCTTATGATTAGACTGGAGAGAGCCTCTTCCGAGGGTTCCTCCAAACTCTGAGCGTTGGTGCCCTGGTGTCCAGCGGTTTCCTGCCTTGAAGAAGTGCCTCACTCCCTCGGAACAGAGCCCAGGGGGCTCAGGGTTTTGGGGTCGCTAGGAGTGGTTGGTTTGAAGCACATGCTGGGGAGGGAGGGAGAGATAAAAAGCAGAGGAGAGGAAGGGGATGAGAGTGAAGCCGGGAGATAACAGGGAGAAGGAGGAAGAGGGAAAGGAAAATGACAAGAAGGCAGAGCGAGACCTTGACAAGACCAAGCCTAGGAAAGAAGAGGGAGGGGGACACAGAGGAGCAGGGAGAGAAAAGGAAAGTGCAGTGAGGAGGGGACAGGGTGGGAGGGCCACAAGCCCTGTTCAGTGTTCTGACATCAACCCTGAAGCTAAGAGGTACCTGCTGGGGGACCCCCCAGGCAGTGATCATGTGGGGGGCCTTCGAGAGGCCTCTAGACAGGCCAGAGATCCTGAGGGCCCCTTTGGCATTTGAGTCTCTCGGTCTGGATTCCAGGGCTACGTCCCAAGTGGGATCAAAGTCTTCAAGAGGATGGTCAGGGAGAGGGGTCACCCTTGTCACTGTGCCAGCCTTTGGTAAGCAGCCGGACCTCTCTCTGTGACATAGATCCCACCCAATGACCCCCGGATCAAGAATCAGCGTGATTGCATCCCCTTCTTCCGCTCATGTCCAGCCTGCACTGAGAGCAACATCACCATCCGAAACCAGATCAACGCGCTCACCTCCTTTTTGGACGGCAGCATGGTATACGGAAGTGAGGATCCCTTGGCCAGGGACCTCCGAAACCTGACCAACCAGCTGGGGCTCCTGAAGGTCAATAGCCGCTTCAGGGACAATGGCCGGGCCTTGCTACCCTTCGACAACCTGCATGACGATCCCTGCCTTCTGACCAACCGTTCTGTGCGCATCCCCTGCTTCCTAGCAGGTCAGCTGCAGTGGGGGACATGGAGTGATCCAGGGGGTCTGCTGTGCTGGGAACACGGCCAGCTTGCTTTTGAGAGGCTTGTAGGTTTGCATTTAGAAAGACTATCTTCACCAACTTCACAATACTAATCTGTTGCCTTGGTGATGAGGTGGATGGAGCCAGAAAGGCCAAAAAAAAAAAAAAAAAAGAAAGAAAAAAGAAAAAGCCCAAGGGAGAGACATAGGGATGGCTGAGGAGCCTCTGCTCATCTGTCCACCTCTTTCTTTCTCTTTGTTTCCCACCCTTTGGGCTCTGGAGGAGAGGATGATGGAGTCCTTCAGGGACAGGGAGCAATATGATCCTATCACCTTCTGTAGCTGTGCTATCCAAGAGTGTAGCCCTTAGCACTACATAGCTATTTTAATTGAGATAAAATTAAATTAAAAAAAACTCATTCCTTATCTGCACTAACCACATTTCAAGTACTCAGTGGGTTCATATGGCTATGGTTACCCTTTGGGGCAGCACAGGATACTTTCATCATTGTAGGAGGTTCTGCTGGACAGCACTGTTCTGGAATATCATTCCCCACCCATACTGATTAACCTTAAGAGGGAGGATGGGATTTTAATTTAAAGAACCATCCACTCAGGATGTGGTTGAGAGGATAATGGTCAAGCTTCAAGCTTTTCCAGTGGCTTCAAATATAAACCCAACAGAGGTTCTTCTCTCTGGTCACTGTCCCCACTTAACCATGGGAAGAGAATGAAGGACAGTGCCAGTCAGGGGGATTATCAGGGACAGTGCCAGGGGGAATGTTCTGCCAAGGGACTGAGTTCCTCTGGTCTGTCTCCAGCTCGGTGTTGAAGAGGCACATTCCAGGTCTAGATCTGTGTGGCCCTGGATGTTTATGATTAGAGAAGCTGCTCTCAGAGAGGTTCCTTTTCCACACCTCTAGAGCTGACCAGGGCATTTTGTCCTTTTGAAGTGGGCCTTTCCCTCTGGCCCCACAAAGGGTACTCTAGGGGAAGACTAGGGGGGTCAGAAATCTTAATTTAGTTTTAATAAGGCCTCAATGGTGGATCCCCAATGTTCTATGCCTCCTCCCATTACTCCAGAGCAGATTGCAATTAACATGTGGTTGGAGCAGAGATGGAAATGCTGACCAGATGGTTGTGGTTTTCTAGAGTCCTGTGTTGAGAAGGGTTCTGAGTTGCATCTAGTTTTATCAAGAGATAATGATGCACTTGACATGAACATGGAGACAAGGAGGAAGATCCTTCATGGGTTGTATCTTCATGTTAATTTACACTGTGTTAAGTCCTGTGTGTTTACATGTGTGCTGGGCAAGAGTTTAGCTACAAAAAGGCACAAGCCCATGGTCCTTGTTCTCAAGGACCTCCCAGTCTCAGGTATGGGATGATGGCAAGTCCTTTGTGAGATGTGAGTCCTCAGATGGACATTTCCAACTCACAGTGACGCTAAACAGAAGAAGCTGTCATAGCAGACGAGGGCAGTTCCTCAGACAGCGTGGTATGGGGTAGGTGCGTGGAGAGGAAGGGTGAGAAAGGGGAGTGCTTTAGGCCTTGACAGGAGAGAGAATTTCAGTGGGGCAAATCCTCCCTGGGATGGAAGTCTTAGGAAGCCCCTTGGCTTTTGCTTCTCCCAGGGGATACTCGCTCGAGTGAGATGCCTGAGCTCACCTCCATGCACACCCTTTTTGTTCGGGAGCACAACCGGCTGGCTACACAGCTCAAGCGCCTGAACCCCCGCTGGAGTGGGGAGCAGCTGTACCAGGAAGCTCGGAAGATCGTGGGTGCCATGATCCAGGTAGGCAGTCCTGGGTATTGGTGATGGGGGGTGGGCAGGAAAGAGGGGCACAGAGCTAGAATCCAGACTGGCTTCTGCAGTGTTGTAGTGATGTGACCTTGAGTAAGTTACTCAAGCCTTTTGACCCGAGTTTCTTGAGCCATAATGCTGAAAAGACGGAAGGACATGTAAAAAAAAAAAACTCGGCAGGTGTCACGTTCCTGCCAAAGATTCCTTCCCTTCCCTCTCCTTCTCCTTAGGCTTCTTTCTCATCTTTCCCATGGGTGCAGGAATGGTGTCTGAGGGTTTAATGGTAGGTCTAAAATGCCTGCCTCATAGTAGCTGTTCCGTAAATGCTTTTTGAATACCTGAGTTGATACCCACTCATGGGACCCTTTATCAGTTTCCTGAGGCTAAAAATCTTTAGGGGAGACTGCCTCATCCTTTCCCCTTTGAATGGCTGGTGGATTTGGACCACTGGCCTTTCAGTTAGGAGCCCAGCATATGACATGCTACTACACTCTCAGGTCTCTTTATAATTTTCCTTTGAGGACCTGAGGCTCAGAACTGGCCCCATTCACACAACCTTGTTCATGCAGCGAGCAGTAGCACTCCGCTCCGTTTATGTTCCCCCACAGCACCCTGCTCAGGGGGGATCTGGGGGAGGCAATTCCTTGGTCATAGCCAGTTGGAAGGATCCCCCCAATCTGAGATTGAGCAGGGAGGCATGAGTGGAGAGACCACTTTTACTCTGACAATCTTTTCCTTTAGATCATCACTTACAGGGACTACTTGCCCCTGGTACTGGGGCCAGACGCCATGAAGAAATACCTACCCCAATACCGACGCTACAACGATTCGGTGGATCCCCGCATCGCCAACGTCTTCACCAATGCCTTCCGCTATGGCCACACCCTCATCCAACCCTTCATGTTCCGCCTGAACAATCGCTACCAGCGCATCAGCCGTGTTCCACTTAGTGAGGTCTTTTTTGCCAGCTGGAGGGTAGTGCTGGAAGGTGAGCCCACCCCGGGCCAAGGGGAAGGACTGGCATCTGGGAGTAGGATGGGTGTCCTTGGCCACAGGGAGCAGATTGGGGAGAACTCCACTTTCCTTCCATCTTTATGGGTCTGATCTGACTTCTAGTCTGTCCACATGACTCTGTTTTTTCACCAAATAATAAAGGCCTCTTTGAGGTTGATTATGAGGAAGGGACCTCTCAGAACATACTTTCAATCTGTTGCTGTGAATTGTAGACAATTTGATGGCACCTAACAACTGTGAGGGTAGGGATAGAGATGCCGCTTACCAGGAACTTCTTTCTTCCCGGGCTGTGTTTCCATGACCCAAGAGTTCAGCTGCTGGGGGCATCCCAACTCTGCAGGTCTGAATGGCCTCATGCCCTGAGACCTTGATGCCCACGGCTTGTGCGTTGCCAGTGAAGGCTTGTCCATGGGGGAGACTTCTTGGCACCAGGAGCTGCATGTGTCTAGGCCTCTTCTCCATCCTGACTTAATCTTGCCTCCAGCCAGAGCTCCAAGACTAAACTAACCTTGCCTCTCCAGGTGGCATTGACCCTATCCTGCGGGGCCTCATGGCCACCCCTGCCAAGCTGAATCGCCAGAACCAAATCGTGGTGGATGAGATCCGGGAGCGGTTGTTCAAGCAGGTCATGAGGATTGGGCTGGACCTTCCCGCTCTGAACATGCAGCGCAGCCGGGACCATGGCCTCCCAGGTCAGGGGTGGGGAGGCCCCCCTCTCTACTCATCCAACCATCTCTCCGCCCTGTAACCACATGACTGGGGAAATGGGATTACCTACTGGGCTCTTAACTTCTTTTCCCACCCTAGAGTTCCTGTCCTCCATGGTGCCTGCTGCTGTCCCAAGCTTTCCCCTTACCCCAGCAGAATGAAGTGAGGCCTCTACCTCTCCCTGGGCCCATTAGGTCACCTATCAGCTCCTGGCCTCTTTCTCATGCTGTGACCCTTCACTTGTGGTATCATAACACCAACAACAGGCCCCACTCCTCACAGTCTGAAAATCTATCTCCATAGTTTTTTTCTTTGTTTTACATGGAATCATTTTATTCACAAAGAAACAGGCTGGGCGAGATTCCAAACCTATTCTGGTTCTCCAAGCCAAGCCAGAGCTGGAACTTGAACCCAGATTGGCATGAGACCCAGACCTGTGCTGCCTCCTGGGACAGCCTGTATTGCTGAGCCCTCCAGACACACCCCATCTCTCAGATTGGAGACAACTCTATTGGGTTGCTCCAGAGTGAGGCAATGAGAAGTCCCTATTCTTGGACCTGATGGGAGTTAACACAATTTAGGGTTTAACTTAGAATGAGAGGTCCAGAGGATGGGAGAGAGGGTCCTAGAGAGGCTCAGCTGCTACCTTTGACCCAAGGGAAAGATTCGGGGTTCCTTAAAGGTTTATAGCTTAGGATAAGTCTTTCTGTGATGCCCTTACTCACATGTATGGCCTTAGTATGTGGGAAAGGTAGACTTTCAGAGCTGATGGTATATGTGCATCTCTTCAGATGTCCCCAGCAAACCTCTTATTTTGCTACAGAGGCACCTCTCCACGACCACCACCACCTTTCCCCCTCTCCACAGGGTACAATGCCTGGAGGCGCTTCTGTGGGCTCACACAACCCAGCACGGTGGGCGAGCTGGGCACAGTGATGAAGAACCTGGACCTGGCACAGAAGCTGATGGCCCAGTACGGCACGCCCAACAACATCGACATCTGGATGGGCGGCGTGGCCGAGCCGCTGCAGCCCAAAGGCCGCGTGGGTCCACTCCTCGCCTGCCTCATCGGAACCCAGTTCAGGAAGCTCCGAGATGGTGACAGGTAAGGAGGTGGCTCAGGCTAGCCCTGAACGCCTGGAGACTCCTGCCCTCCTCTTGTCAAATGAATCCCTGATGTTCTAAGGCCATGCCTAACATGTCCTGCGCTTGTTGGGACTGTGGCAAGGAGAGACCTAGGCCATTGGTTGTGAGGAGGGATGATCGAAGCAGTGCCGCTGTTAACTACCATGATAGTTCGAGCCTTACTTGGCCACCAGCAACATCTAACCGTGATCCTGATATGTATCCACTCTAGATCTCATCTAGTCTGTACTGTACCATTCAGATACTTAGGGAAAGGTGTTCCTCTCTATTTGAACAAACTAGGAGCCATGTCCAGTTTCCCCTGACCTCAGTCTACCTCTGTCCACAGGCAGGGCCCAGGGCTTGGTGAGCCAGTATGTGACCGGGGCATCAGTGGGGCTGGAGACCGCTGGGGTGGGGGGCTGGGGGAGCCGGGAGGAGGCACCTGTGCTTCCCTCCGCACTGGGAATGGGGTTCCACTTGTTTGAGGGCCCTTGGCTGACAGGGTGGGCAGGCATCTGTCTGCTCTCTTCCTGTGTCCAGAAAGCAATTCAAACCAATTGATGCCAACCCAGCCTAGGCCACCCTAATGTCCCTGGTGTCCCTGTGCAGGTTTTGGTGGGAGAACCAGGGTGTATTCAGCACGCAGCAGCGGCGGGCACTGGCCAAGATCTCCTTGCCCCGCATCATCTGTGACAACACGGGCATCACCACCGTGTCCAAGAACAATATCTTTAAGTCTAACACCTTCCCTCGGGACTTTGTCAACTGCAGCACACTCCCTGCACTGGACCTGGCTTCCTGGAGGAGCGGGTCCTAGGGGCTGGATGACAGATGCAGCGTGTGGGGTGTGCATGCCTGGGCTGGCCTGCTTGGAACGTAGAGAACTCCTGCCCCAAAGGCAGAGCTCTTTCCTGTTCTAGGTGTCAGCTAAGAAACACGGTTGACCGGATGCGGATTCCCGCGGGAGTGTGCATGTCATGTTCTAGATTAGCATTTCACGTGTGCGTGTTGTTTTGTGTTTGGGGTACTGTGTATAATGTGTGGTTTACAGGAGTGTGTGCTTGCTGATTTATGTGTGCTTGACTGCTCACTGAAAGGCTGCTGGTTCGAGTCTGTCCAGGAATGCATTGGAAGGAGAGCCTGATGATTTCCTTCTGGAAAAAAAAATCAGCCACTGAAAACCCTGTACAGCAGTTTGACTCTAGGTGTCTATGGTGACTCACGTGAGGTCGCAATAAGTTGGGATCAACTCTATGACAACTGGCTAGTTTCCCCCTTAACAAGCCCCTGCTATGTGCCAGGCACAGTGCTAGGCACAGGAAATGTACTCAGGTGGGACAGACATCGTTTGTGCCTCCTGGGGCTTATACCAAGACTTTCCTGACTTTGAGAAGTGAACAAGTGACCCCTGGGAAGAGATCTGTTAACAGTTGGTCTGTGTGACGGCCACGTTAGTCCGGGAACTGGACTCAACTGCAGCCTCCCTTTTCTCCCCTGTCCTGCTCCTGTGCTTCCCCACAGGAAGTCTGCCTAGAGAGGGACTGGGGCCCCCAGCCCTTCTGTACCATTTGTTCCTGCCTGATGTTTCTGACAATAAAGCACTGTTGATTAGGTTCTTCTCTTTGTTGTATCTGCAGTGGGACTGGAGCCTCAGCAGGAGGCTCCCACTGGGTTCTGACTTGTGCCTCTGTGGTTTGTACTTCACAGCCCCGTGTAGCCTGGAGGGCCACTTTGGCTATTCTATAGGTGGAGGACAGTCGGTTTCTAGAAGCTTAATGGCCAAGCCAAGCTGAGCAAACCACCTAGCCTCACTCTTGGTCTCTAACACCCTGGAAAACAGACACTGTGGTCACTGAACCCTTATGTTCATTCTTTGCTCTGGGAAACATTTGCTACATACTCACTCTATGTCAAGCCTTGTGCCCCACAGGAAGCCAAGGGAACAAGATGCCATCCAGTTCACAGGCCAGGGGGAGAAGAAGAAGGGGTGTGGTGAACAGGCAGACATTCCTCAGGCAGCAAGACACCTGCAGCTCAGATAAGACTCCTGGTGACTCTGTCTTCATATGGCCAGGTCCCCAGAGGAGGGACAGTGATTACTCGGCTAAGGGGAAGGACAAGGCTGTATCTGAGGCCATATCATAGTCTTGCCTGGAGCCTGGCTTCTCTCTCTCGTTCCAGAGAGGCCAACTGCTATGGAAGTTCTGTAGGATAATGGGGTGTAGTGCTGGGCCGTAGGTGATGCTAGCACCTTACCTTGGCGAGAATCGGGACAAACATTTTCTACCTTTATTTCATTAGTGAGGAGAGAGGTGCTCAGAAAGATTGTGTCATTTGAGACCCTGAAGAAGTGGGTGCTTGAGCCAGGGCCATAGCCCGGGTCTGCTGGCTCCTAGATTCTTCCTACAGGCTGACTAAGTGTCAGGGTGACCCATCAGTCTGAGGTCGATAGGTCTCAGCCTGGCTGAGCATAACCAGAGGGCTATTTAAAAAGAGGAACATATGATATATGCTGAACGTCAGTCCAAGGAACATTCCGGAGCTGCCCCTTTGAAAAGAGTGCTGATGGTGCAATAGTTGTGTTCAGTGGCTAACAGAAAGGCTGGTGATTTGAAGCTGCCATCTATTCCATGGGAGGAAGATGTGGCGCCCGCCTCCCTGAAGAGCACAGCTTTGGAAACCATGGCCAGGTCTACTCTGCCGTGGGGCCATAATGGGTTGGAAGCAACTCTATGGTAATGGGTTTGGTTTCATAATGGGTTTGGTTTCATAATGGGTTTGGTTTCATATTTTCCAGACTCCTTCAGAGGCCAAGGAGTATTCTGGGAGAATATTCCCTAGAAGGGCTGTGGGAAAGGAATTTAATTTTGGCTAAAGTGGAATCCAGATTTTCCTTCTTATTTTATCTCTTGACACCATCACCTGTAGTCAATCCCACCTAAGGCCCCTCTGATGGTACTCCAGGCCATTTCTACTCCCCTCTTTGAGAACTCTGTGATATCCCACCAAGCCACACTCTCTCACACACAGTATGTCACATGCGTGCGCACGCGTGTGTGCATGCACACACACACACACACACACACACACACACACACACAGACACTCACGACCTCTTAGGGTAAGGTTCCCTAGGACTGTAAACTTCTAGTTACTTCTTTGGTAGTGATATTCTGGAAAGGAACAGTGTCATAGCCGGCACTTTTAATCAATAAGCAAACGTTTATTGAACACTAACTATGTGCTGAGCACCATGCTGGGAAGCGGGGTGACGTCCCTGCCCCAAGGAGCTTACAATCTAGTTTGAAAGAACAAAGGCAGAGGCCACAGCTTCTTCCCAGGCTTGCTGAGGGCACAGGAGGGTCACATCCATCTAGACTGGAGTCTAGTCAGAGTGTCTCAGGATCTGTGTCTTTTCAGAAAGGGAGGGTTTGCCTAGTGAGAAGATGAGGGTGGGAGCAGTAACAGCAGAAGTGGAAAGGCTGGGGCAGCTGCATCTCAGTTTGAGCGAGACATTCATTGGGCAGGAGGGAGCCCCGTCTGAGAAGAAGGGCTGGCACATTCCTCAGAATGTGGAGCCTGAAAAGACCAGTTCATTGCACTTGCTTCAAATAGCATCAGGGGCAGAGGTGCTTTATTTATCCACGGACCAGAGGAGGCTGTGGGGTTTAAGAGCCTAATTCTTTTCTGAGGCCCAGGGTGAGAGGTCCAGCTTATCAATGGATGAACACTCTACAAAGTCTTGGGGATATGTGTTAGCCTTAAATGGGTCTACAGGGACCTTGGTGATGTGGGTGTTGTCACAGACGAGACGGGAGAAGGACACTTTCTGCAGAGCATCCCGCTGCTTCTGAGTGAAGATTTCGGGGTTCTCCCACCAGAACCTGCAGACACAGAGCAGAGTCTCTCAGAATGGCCTGGCCATGGTTCCTCCCCAACCTGCCTGAGGGGAGAGTGTCCCTCCAGGGGTCCTTGGGTGCCTGGGTGTGAATCCTACTGAAAGCAGTCTAAATATCACCCCACTGGTTACAAACCAGTGAGTGACCCCTTCATCCCAATCTTGGGAGGACAGAAGAGTGTCCTTATCAAGGGGGTCATGAGACCAGTGAGGAAGGAGGCCACGGGGACAAGAGAAAGAAGCACCTATGCTGGAGTTTGGAGGATGTAGCTCCTCCCCTCCAATGCCATCCCAGTTCTAGAAAGGCCCTGTCTGGCCAAGGCTGGACATACCTGTCTCCATCTCGGATCTGCCTGAACTGCTTCCCCAGGATGCAGGCCAGGAGCTCCCCTACCCGGCCTCCGGTTACCATGGGCTCAGCGATGGCCCCTATCCAGATGTCAATGTTGTTGGGAGTCCCATAGAGATCCATGAATTTCTTGGCCAAAACCTTGTTCTTCAGCACAGTCTCCAGCTCCTCTACTGTTTTGGGCTGAGAGAGGTCACAGAAGCCTCTCCAAGAATTGTACCCTAGAGTAGGAGGCCAAGATTTTGTCACCCCAGAGGCTTCTTGCCCATACCACCCTCTTGAAGACATAATCACTTCAACTCTATTAGCCCCAGAAAGTCTGGGCTCCCAGACTTTTGGATTGAGGGAGGAAGTGATTCACAGTTTACACGACTAATACTTGAGTTTTAGGGGGCTAGATTAAATGGGGGCTTATTGTGGGCCCAGTCAAAATACTAAGCATTTCCCAGGGTTATATAAGTGATCGATGGCATAGCAGGACTTTGAACTCAAGTCTTCTGGCCCAATTACTGCATACAATTGCCCTTGATGTATGCAAAAGAAAGTCCCAAGAATCATTTGTTTCTTTCTCCTTAATTTCTTTTGGGCTTTTAGACTGGTTTTACAAGTTAGCTGTTAGTTAAAATTTCATTTGAGGCCTTCCAAGATAATACAGAGGCCTGCCGTCTTGTCTCTACATTGGAGAGACCATTTCACAAATGAGAAAGGTGAGTTTTAAAATCAGGCTTCTCTCTTTGAGAACTGATAAGATTCTTAGGAGTCTAGCAAATAGTCCAAACGTTCACAGGAGCCCCCAAAGTAGCCATAGGCTCCCCAGAACCAGTGAATCCTGGGCCCCTCACCTGGCTGCCCATGGTCCCGTCCCCGCTGGATGTTGATAGAGGCGAGGTCATAACCGTGAATTTTGTGAGTTTCCAGGAACAGCTTGTTTCGTAGTTCTCCTGTCATCATTTTATCCTGTTGCATCAATTTGGACTTGTTGGCCAGCAGGCCGCGTACCAGAGGGTCAATTCCACCTGCAAAAGAGACCCAGAGACCATGTTAGCGGAGGGGACTTCTTCCACTGTTGTCCCCTCCCTCTCCGGGACATTGTCTCTTGGATGGACTTGGAGCCAGCTTAACAGGCTGGCTGGAAGCAGGAAGAGAACACTTCAGCCTGCAGGGGGCGCTTGGCAGAGAGGATGTCAGGGGCTCTGCAGCTGGGAGCTGTAGAAGGATGGCATGAAAATAAACTTTGAGATTTTATTCCAAGTTGTTGCTTTCCTTCCATGTGCTTCCCCGAACACCGGACAATAGGGGAATGCTAACATAAACCTTTAGACACAGCTCTGACTGGCTAAACCTTAAGTAAATCAGGTCTCAACACTGCCTGGCTCAGAGATAAAGGAGGGCCGAGTCTAAACTTTGACATCTAATGGAAGGACTTCAAGGAGAGCAGAAAAGAGCAATCTTATTTGCCAAATCCATACAGGGGTTATGGAAGCTTTGCTCACAGAGAGGTGGTAGGGACATCCCTTCTGGTACTTAGGAAACCAGGAGAAGGAAAGAAAGAACTAACATTTACTGACCATTTCCTGTGTGTTGAGAACCCTTGTAGGGTGTTCTACACATGTGTCTCATCTAATTATTTTGAATATTCTAGTGAGGTAAGACCCTCATTGCAGTCAAATTGGAACTGACTCATAGCTGATGCTCCAGTAGATTTTGAGGAGGCTGTAAATCTCATGAGAGGAGATTGCCCACCTTTCTCCCATGGAGCCACCAGTAGATTAGAACCACCTGTGGGTTCGCAGCTCAAATCCCTACAGATAGGTCAGTAGAGTTCTCTTAGGTACTATTACTGTTCCCATTTTACAGATGAGGAAGCCGAGGCTCAGGAAAGTGAGTTCATTTGCTCTGGATTGACAAGGTGTCACAGAAAATGCTGGAAGTCTGACTCACACATCAGATTTCTCTACAAGCAGGCTGCAGGGTGGGAGAGCTGGCGATGGGGGTCTGGACTGGACATACCATCCTTGACTATCCTCCAGGTGTTGAAGAAGAGGGTATGCAGGGGCAGGTCAGGCTCTGGGCCCCAGGGTTGGTAGTTCTCATCCAGGCGGGACACCATGGAGGGGATCTCTAAGTGGCCAAAGCGAAAGGCGAAGGTGAAGACATTGGAAATCCGGGGATCCACAGATTCATTGTAGCCTGTGTATGGAGGGATGTGCTTCTCCATCTCATCACCGAGCACAATGGGCAGGTAGTCCCTAAAGGTGATAATCTGGAGGGAGAAACAAACCACAGGGAAAGGGTGTGAAAAGGCTTAAATGTCTGCAAAGGGAGACTTGTCAGAGCTGTGACCAAGAGGGACAAGTTAGTTAAAAAAAAAAAGTAAAAAAATCAAGCATGGTAAATGGATAGCAGATGTGCCCAGGTCCTCTTCCAATGACTGTGGCAGACATTGCTAATCGATCATGGCATTCATTCTGATAATTTTCCATTATTTATCTGAAATAAGTGCTATGTGGATTTGGAAGCCGAGATGCACTCTCTTTGGCATCTGTGCTTTAGGCACATGACCTTCATGCTGAAGGGGCCACCCTTGTGCGTCACTTTAACAATAGCACTGACACAGTGACTATCAGGTGGGCTCGAGCCTATCAGAGATGATGAGGATGGAACAGGATAGGGCAGAGTTCAGATCATCGTCCATGAACTGTAGTTGATGTGATGGCACTTAACAGTATATGGCTACAGGGAGTATATATACTCCATAGGTAGTTATCATGTCACTAGTGGCTCTGAAGGGAGAGGTGGCCAATCTCTTCCCATTGGATTTAGTCTAAGAAACCCAAAAGAGGGTCAGGTATGAGTCAGTTCTAACTTGAAGGTAATAAATTTGAGTTCTGATATTGATTCTATTACACTAATCTATATGTCTGTTCTTTTTTTATTTTTTATTTTATTTATTATTGTGTGTGTGTGTGTGTGTGTGTGTGTGTGTACCATCAAATCAGATCTGACTGGCACAGGAGATTAACCCTCCTTCTCCAGCAGAGCATCTGGTGGATTTGAATCCTGTACCTCTGGGATTGCAGTGCAGCTTCTTGCCACTAGGCCACCAGAGCTCCCTATGTGTCTGTTCTTTTAAGAGCATTACAGCATTTAGTTACTGGAGGCATCTAAAAGGAAATTCACTGTCAAGTCCCTCCTGACTCATGGCAGACCTTCCATTGGACTTCCAAGGCTGTAAATAGCATGGAAGGAGGCTGCCCTTCTTTCTCCCTTGGAGGCACTAGTGAATTAGAACCACCAGTGAGGTGCAGGCCTTTGTGTTAGCAGCACAACTCCCTACAGGCTACACCATCGAGCGCCGAATGGAATGGAATGGAATGGAATGGAATGGAATGGAATGGAATGGAATGGAATAGACAGCCTAAAATAAAACCACATAAATACAGTGGAGGAAATGCAATTCATTGTTGGAGAAATAGATCACCACTTCAATATGTGGTACTGAAGCAACTGGACAACAGAGAGAGAAAGGGCCTATACCCAAACCTCACACCTTATACAAACACTACCTCTTCAGTATAAAACATAAAATTATAAAACTTCCAGGAAAAACAAAGCAGGAGAAATATTTGGGATCTGTTGTTAGGTGCCATTAGTTTGGAACCAACTCATAGCTGACTCCAGGGGCTTTTCAGAGGCTGTGAATGGACTCTGGGGGAGACTGCCCATCTTTCTCCCGTGGAACAGTTAATAGATTCAAATCATGTGCCTTAAGTTGGAAGTGCAACTCCTTACCACTATGTCACAGAGCTCCTTGGATTTAGGATCTAGGATTAGGCAAAACATTCTGAGACTTGACACCAAAAGCATTATTCATGAAAGGAAATACTAATAAAGTGAACCTCACAAAATATAAGGCTCTTATCCCATGAAAGGCCCTGCGAAGAATAGAAAAAAGAAAATATAGAACAGGAGAAAATATTTTCAAACCACATTTCTGATAATCAAGAACTTGTGTCTAGAATATATAAAGAAAACAAACAGCTCAATATTAAAAAAACTTCAAATTATTTTAAAATGGGCAAAAGATATGAACAGATATTTCACTGATGAAGATACACAGATGGAAAGTAAGTGCATGAAAAGATGTAAATTGTTAATAGTCATTAAAGGAATTCAGATTAAAATCACATTGAGATCTTATTACACATCTCTCAAGAAAGTTAAAACTAAAAAACAGTGGAAACATCAAAAGTCGATGAGGATGATAAGAAATGGACTCATTCATACATTGTTGGGGGTGGGGGATTCTGTGTGTCTCAAATGGCACAGCCAGTCTGGAAAGTATTTTGGCAGTTCCTTTAAAACTAAAAATGGATTTACCATATGGCCCAGCAATTTCACCCTCGGGCATATGTCCCAGAGAAATGAAACCTGACTTTTTTATGCAGAAACGTGTACACAGTTGTTATAGCAGTTATGTTCGCACATAATAGCCAAAATCTGGCAACTACTTGGTCAGATAAACAGTGGTCCATTCACACTCTCAAGAAGAAGGAATGAAGTATTGATATTTGCAAGAGTGCAGTTAAGCCTCAAGGGAATTAGGTTGAATGAATGGGGGGAGAAGGATAAATACTGCATGATTCTATTTATAAACATTTGGAAGATAATATGACTTTAGAGATAGAGCAATTCTACTCTTATATGGAGGAGCCATGAATTGGAATCAACTCAATGGAAATGGCTTTGGATTTTGGTTTTCAAGATATAGATCAGATAAGTGGTTGCTAGGGATTAGCGATAAGTGGGTAGTGGGTATGATTTAAAGGGGTAGGATGAGAGAGAGCGTGTGGTGGTGGTATAATTAAGGATGCCTTATTCAGACCATGGTATTTTTAATACTTGCAATGCTGCTGAGAGCTGGACAGTGGAAAAGGATGACAGAAGAAGAATGTATGCCTTTGAACTGTGGTGTTGGAAAAGAGTACTAACTATCCCATGGACTGCCAAAAGAACAAACAGATACGTCTTGGAGAAGGTGTAGCCAGAGGGCTCCTTGGAGGCAAAGATGGTAAAATTTCATCTCACACACTTTGGGCTTGTTGCTAAGAGAGGCTATTCCTTGTAGAAGGACACGATGCTTGGGAAGGTGGAAGGATGGAGAAAGAGAGGAAGATCGTCAACCAGGTGGATTGACATAGTGACTGAAGCAATGGGCTCAAGTGTGTCAAAGACTTTGAGAATGACAGGATAGGAGAGGATTCAGGTCTGTTGTTCAGAGGGACAGGGTTAGGGTACACGGAGGAATGGAAAACAGCCAGCAGTGGCTGAGCCAAGCCAAGTCAGGAAGTAGGTGAGGAAGGCTCCCGTCTCTCCTCACCTGCACAAAGGCTCCCAGGATTTTCCGGGCTTCCTGGTAGAGCGTGTCTCCATCCCAGTGTGGGTTGAGTTTCTTTAGTTCCGTGGCCAGTCGGTTGTGCTCTCGAAGGAAGAGGGTATGGGAAGTGGCCAGCAGGGTCTGCTCTGAGGCTCGGGAATCTCCTAGAAGCCAGGAAAGCAGAACAGCTGAGTCTGAGCAGCCCAGAAGCCAGTAAACTCAACAAGCGATGATGATGCGACACCCCCTCCCCGAAACCCTTCCCTAAGCACTTTTTTCCCACCCCCAATGACTGAAAATCATGTGGACCAGTGGAATGAGGTGAGGAATTACAGGTTTGGATCCCAGCTCTACCACCTCTCTGCTGTATGACCTTGGGCGAGTTATATATTAGTGAGTATATATATCTATGAAAATGGGGATTATGCGACTGACTTCACAGAATTGTAATGAAGGTAATATTAAAACTGATATAATAATCTTACTGCCTTTAAAAAAAAAAAGAAAAACCACAAATCAACACCTTGTAGCTGCTGAGTCAGAGCCAACTCATAGCTGACCCTTCAGTGGATTTTTGGAAGTAAATCAGGGGAAAATACATTGTGGACTACGCCACCAGAGCACCCTTCTGAAGGGAGTAGAACAGTACAAATAAATATTGTATGTCAGAGAGCTCATTCAGACGCAAAGAAACCCTACACGAGAGAGTAAGGGTGCCCGATAGAGGTTTTATTTTTTAGTTTAATTTTCACAAAGTCATTTTTATGTCTCTTTACTTCCCTTCCCATCATTCTTAACCCTCCAACATTGCTTCTATCTGGGCGTAAATATTTCCTCAGCTTTTCAGAATAGTGCTTTTAGACCGTAAGTGTCTTTCTGAGACTGATTTATGTCTCTGTGCAGCATCTAATGAATTCTTGGTCCTTTTTTAGTGATGCATAATAATCCTTTGAGAGAGACATCATGCTTGGGAGGGTGGAGGGACAGCGCAAGAGAGGAAGACCCTGGATGAACGGAATTCCCCAGTGACTGGGGTGTGTCAGACACAACGAGGTGGCTCAACATAGAGCAGGGTGCAGAGCTGTTGCACCTGGGGTTGCTATGAGTCACAAGCAACTCGACAGCGCATAACAACAGTACTCCATTGCCTGTAGAGTTTTCTAGGCCAATGGGTACAAACTACTGTATTACCAAGGTCCCTTCCACAAGTAAACGAAGGGTTCTTTATGGCTTGGTCTGTAGGGAGTTGTTCTACTAACCCAAAGGTAATCTCTCTCTAGTGGTTCAAATTCACCAGCAGCTTCGAGAGAGAAAGACAGGCAAACTACGCCCATACTATTTACAGCCTCTTGAAACCCCACTAGCAGGTCAGCTAAAAGTTTGAACTCAACAGCAATGAGTTTGAGTTTTTATTTTATCTTGTTGAGTGATTTTAAACACTTTGGGGATATAGATTTAAAGGCAGACTGCTGGAAAGGACTGAACTCCTCTGCGGAATAAAGATTGAAGACTCTGGAGTTGGGAAATGACCTGGGGGGAGAGGGGAGAAGCTAGGATGGTGGAAAGGATCACTGAAACCATGGAAGACCCCATGTTTCACAAGAAGACTTCTTTCTGTTGCTCTAATCAGAAAAGCTGGTTCCCTTCACCAAAGCTTCAGCATTGTAGATATTTTTGTGAAGAACAGGCAAGGCTCGGTTTTGTGTCTGGATTTGTGTGATGTATGTGTGGGCCCTGAGAGATCATGGCCCATGGACTGGCCTCCTCCTGCGTCTAGGTGGTTAGGGGCTTGTCCAGAGAAATGAGTTCTTTTAGGATGGAAGGCTTGTAGACACCGAGAGCAGAAAGGGGGGTGAACCCCTAAAATGAATGAATTGTGAGGGCTCTAGTGGGCCACTATCTAGAGTGTGGGCATTGTACCAAGTTTATTAAAAGCTTTAACAATGTATATTCATTTTAATCTAGAAACTCTTTCTCTAGGAAATTCTATTAGTAAGTTCATTAAAAGTGTGGACAATAAGTCATCAACAAGAATGTTGATTCTTTTATTTTAACATTAGACTTGACTTAAGATTTATTACAAACATTGCACAGCCACACACACCAATCTTGAACCAACCTTAAACCAAAAATGTTGATTCTTAAGACAACTCCTTAAAAAAACCCACAAAACACCTGTAGAAAATCTGAAAAAGCCTCTTGGTGTATGTGATGGCTCACAGGGAGAGAGTGCTGTGTAGAAATACCCCATGGGGTTCCCAAGGCTGCCATTTATTATTATTATTATTATTATTATTATTATTATTATTATTATTGCCATTCTTATGGAAGTGGACTGGCCATCTTTGTTTCCAGAAACAGTTGATGGGTCTAAACTTGTTTATTTTGGGGTTAACAGTTTAGAGTTTAACCACCAACAGAGCTTCTTAGAAACAACCAACATGTCCCCAAATCAGGCTGATAAAATATACTACAGTAACACGTGCCAGGAACCCCCAGGCAGTCGTTAAAATTACATTATGAAGGATATTTGATGCTATAGAATCTATGAAGTGAAGAACAAGGTTGTCCTCCTCCTGCTGTCATCGCTGTTGAGTCAGTTCTGACTGATAGCTGACTTTCCAGGGAGTTTCCAAGGCTGTGTGAACCCCAGAGGAGGAGACTACACATCTTTTCCCCAAGCAGTTGCTGGTGGATCTCAACCACCAGAGACATACGGCTTTTGAGTTAGCAGTGCAACTCCCTCGTGACTTGGCCACCAGAACTCTCTCATCAGGTTATAGAGCATTATTTATAGTAATATTTCAATTGTCATTGTTGTTGTTGTTATTATGTGCCATCGAGTCGCCTGCAACTCATAGCAACCCTATTTACAATGGCCCTAAACCCTGTTCTATCCTGTGCCAATCTTATTGTCTCTGACACACCTACCCCCATGATCCCAGTCACTGAATCAACCCATCTCATTGAGGGTCTTTCTCTCTTGCGCTGTCCCTACACCCTCCCAAGCATGATGTTCTTCTCCAATAAGTCCCTTCTTGAAATGAGCCCGTGAAAAATATAGAACCATATCCATGTTAAAGAAGTACTGATGGTATAATGAGTTCCGTAATGGGTTGCTAACCCATGTAAGGTCAATGATTCAAATCCACCAGCAGCTCTGAGTTAGAAAGATGCCCATCCCATCTCTTCCCAGAAAGATTTACAGCCTCAGAAACCAGATGGAGGATTGCAGGGACTCACTGCCAGTAGGTTTGGTTTATATCTACACTAGGGAAAAAATACTGTAAAGGTATTTTTTTTTATGGATTGAATTGTGTCCCCAAATCTCTCCTCAGTGTATGGTAAACCTTAACTTCTATACTTTCAGGAATAGGCTTTCTCTGTTGTGTTAATGAAGCTGTGTTTTAATCCAATTGTCTCTTAGATATGAAAGTAGATTTGGCACAGAGAAGCAAGCAGAGAAGAGAAGACAGATAACAAGCTGCCCAGACTCCAAGGAACTGAGGAACTGAGGGAAAAAGAGACCAGGGTCTTCTCCCAGACTTGGCAGGCAAAGCAGGGTTTCCCCTGGAGCTGGTGCCAAGAACTTGGGACTTGAAAAGAAATTTCTGTTTTTCAAAGCCACCCCCTTGTGATATGTCTGTTTAAAAGAACTAGTGGTTTTCATATATTTGTAATATTTTACTGAACCCCCTTTTTTTTCTCTTAAAATCTATATTCATCTGCATCCTTCTGGCAGCCCTGGACCAGTGCCAAGGGTGGTCCTAATTGGGGGTGCATTTTCCCGAGAAAGTGATGAGAAAGAGCAGTGAGCAGAGAGACCCCATGAATTGCCTGGTGACCTGTGAAGGTTCTCGGCTGTCTCCAGGGAAATCCCCTTGCCCCAGTCCCCTCTGTTCCCATCCTATACTCACCCGCCAGGAAGCAGGGCACCTGGGCCGTGGAGTTGATGAACTGACAGGGGGTCGACTTCTTTGTGTTAAAGGGTAGGTAGGGCAGCCCGTGGTCTGAGAACTCCTGGTTTACAGCCAACAGGCCCAGGGGGTTGGTGAGGTTGACGAGGCGTCGGGCCAGACATTGCTCAGACCCATACACAAAGCTGGCATCCAGGAAGGAGGTGAGAGCATTGATCTGCTCTCGGGTCAGGGTCTCGAAGGGTGAAGAGGGGCAGACAAATCCAGCTCGGTTGAATGACATGCACTTCCCTTGATAGTTCACCTTGGGGTCTCCGGGTGGGAACTGCAGAGATGAGGGGTGGGTGATTAGGCAAGGATGGCACAGCTGGGCCCTGGGAACTTCTCCCTAGCTGAATCTGCATGCAGCTGTCAATGATGCTGAGGGCATCCTCCTGGGATCCTGGTCCTAGCCACTGACCCAGATACTTCCTGCTGACACCACATATCCTGTGCCCACAAAACCCTGAAGTTCATGGCATCTTGCTATGAAAGAGGAGAGTTATACAGTCTTTTACAGCTCAGGTTCCAAATATTTGGGTAGAATGAAGCCTGAGATCCCTAGATAGTAATATTGGACTTGAAATCAGAAAGGGTTTGTTAATAATTGTTGCTGTTAGGTGCCATTGAATCGAGCATGATTCATGGCGATCCTATGAAAACAGATCTGAGCCCTGTCCTATCCTGTACCATGTTCATTATTTCTGATGTACTTGAGCCCATTGCTGCAGTCACTGTGTCAACCTATCTTTTAATTTTTATTATTTTGTGTGCGTGTACCGTCAAATCAGATCTGACTTGTACAGGAGGAGATTGTCCCTCCTTTTCCAGCAGAGCATCTGGTGGATTTGAACTGTGTGCCTCTGGTATTGCAGTGCAGCTTCTTGCCACTAGGCCACCAGAGCTCCCTTGTGTCAATCTATCTTATAAATGGTCTTCCTCTTTTGCCTACCCTCCTCCTTTTTAAGCATGGTGTGTCCCTTTCCAAGGAACAGCCTCTCCTAACAGCATGCTCAAAGTACATGAGATGTAGCTTTGCCATCTTTGCCTTCAAGGAGCATTCTGGCTACACTTTCTCCAAGACATAAGTTTTTTTGGCAGTCCACGGAGTATTCCATACTCTTCTCCAACACCACAGCTCAAAGGCATCAATTCTCCCTCTGTCATCCTTATTCATTCTCCAGATTTCATATGCAGAGAAAATTACTAAAAAGACTGTGGCATGAATCAGGTGCAACTTTGTTTTGAAATTGACATCATTGTTCCTCAGTAATTTGGAGATATCACTGACTGTAGATATCACTGGCTGAAGACTTTCCCATTGCAATATGTCTCTTGATCTCCTGACTGCTGATATCAACTGTATTGATTGTGGATCTAAAAAAGTTGAAATCCTTGACAATTCCAATCTTTTCTCCATCTATCGTAATGTTGCCTATTGGCCCAGTGGCAAAGATTTTTGTTTCCTTGATGTAGAAATGAAATCTATATTGATAGTCTTTGATCTTCTGCAGTAAGCACTTCAAGTTTTTCTGACTCTCAGCAAGCAAGGTTGTGTCATTTGCTTAACACAGGTTATTGATGAGTCTTCCTCTGACCCTGACACCACATTCTTATTTATAGGGATCAGCTTCTCAAACTATTTTCTCAGCATACAGATTGAATAAATATGGAGAAAGATACAACCCTGACACACAACTTTCTTAATTTTAAACCTTGCTCTATTTGCAAAACAGCCTTCTGATCTAGGTGTAAGTTTTGCACGAGCACAGTTAAGTATTCCAGGATTCCCATTCTTCTCAATGTTACCCACACTTTGTTATGATCCACATAGTCAAATGCCTTTGCACAGTCAATAAAGCACAAATAGACATTCCTCTGATAGTCTCTGCTTTTGGCCAGAATACATCTGACATTAATAATGATATCCCTGTTGCCTCTTTTAAATCCAGTTTTAGCTTCTGGCAGCTCCCTGTCAATATACTGTTTTAGCCATTTTTTATGATCTTCAGCAATATTTTGCTTACATGTAATATTAATGATATTGCTCAATAATTTCTGCATCTTGTTGGGTCACCTTTCTTGGGAATGGGAACAAATTCAGATCTCTTCTAGTGAGTTGGCAGCTGTCTTCCAAATTTTCTGGCATTTTCTGGTGAGCATGTCCAGGGTTGCATCTGTTAGTTGAAACATGTTGACTGGTATCTCATCAATTCCTGGGGCCTTATATTTTTTCCAATACTTTCAGTGCTGCTTGAATTTTTTCCTTCATTAGCATTGACTCTTGGCCATATGGTACCTCCTGAAATCTTTCATGGCAACCCATTCTTTTTTGATTCAGTGACTCTGTGTATTCCCTCCATATTCTTTTTAATATTATTATTTTAAAGGGTTTTTAATTAATTTGCATTGTATTTTGCACATTCCTTCACTCACATTGTGTTTCATATGTTATTTCCCATAGATTGTGTCTTATAATATTAATCATCATTGATCTAGGCCCAGTTATTACTCAGGTTTTTCAGATCCCTACTGGATGCTTCCTGGATCATTCAAGATTTTGCCCATAGCATCTTTCAGTATTGCAACTCAAGACTTGAATTTGTTTTTTTCAAAACAAATGTTAATAGTTACTACTAACAATGTTATTGTTTTTAGGTGCCAATTGCTAATAACTGCTGCCATTTATTTGTTTTGAACCCATGATATCAAGCATTATACAAACTTTATCTGACTTTGGGTTTCATAAAACTCTGCAAGATGGACAACACAATCCCATTTTATAGGTAAGAAAATGGAAACTCAGAAATGGTGAGCAGCTTGTCCAAGGAATTACAAACTGGAACTATGTTTCATTCAGATCTATCTAGATCTAGCCTCACTCTGCACCCATGTTCCTTCTTCCCTCACACACAACCTTGTCTTTCTCTTTGGATGAATAAATTATTGTAAAATCCATGAATAATGAGGATAAGTACACCATTGCAAAATAATGAGAAAAGGTGCATCTCTCCCCCCTGTAGGGAATTCCCAAAAATCTCTGCAGGCTCCTTCTGACTCATTCATCAAGTGTCTGTTCCTTCTGGGAACAGCATTCTCTGACCTCAGAATGGCTGAGAGCACATCGCCACAAGCTTTATGGGGTGTGAGTTGAATCTCAGGGGTGGGGGTTTCTTGGAGATGTAGATTCTGCTTCTGAAATGTGCATGAGGGCCTTGCAGTCTTGGCATTTCTAATAAGTCCCTCCATGATGCTGAGACAGAGCTTAGACAACCCTCCCCAGATCTTCCTGCCTTTATCGTTATTGGTTCATTCCTCACACTGGCTTTCATCCTCAGGGAGGAACAGTGTCTTAGTCAGCTTTGAGCACCTAGCACTTTACCCACAGCCTGGCACACAAAGGACTAATGAATGGAAGCACTAGGCTTGATCTAGGGAAGCCTTCAAATGAGCATTCAAGATCTACCAAGAGACCCTGGCTGACAGGTGGACATGTCTGCTACATGAGGATGGGCAAGGGTGTTGTCAAGAGTCATCATCCAGCCAAATGAACCTACCATGATGGGGAAAGAATTGCCCCCCTGAATGCAGCATTCGTCGCCATTCTTGGAACTGGGGCACTCAGCTTCCTCCAGTTCCGGGGCAAAGTCCAAGTCATGGTCCACAATTTGACCCCACTGCATGAAGAGCAGGGATGTGTTTGGGTCCAGAACATCATCCTCCTTCAGATAGCCAGCAATCTGATTGGATACCTCCCGGGCCTTATAAATGGAGAGAGAATGTAAGAGTTGAAAGGGAAAAAAGCTTTGAGGATTTCAGAGTTCAGCTACTGTTTATCCAGTATCTATGATGTACCAGGTATGTTTAATCCGTATGACAAGCCTTTGAAGCGGGTGGCATTACTCCCATCTTCTAGACCAGCTTGAGACCTGGAGAGCTGAAGGCAGCTCTTTCAAGTCCTGTAGCCCTGAAGGGACAGAGGTAAGACTGTAACTCAGTTCTGCGTGACTTCCAAGGCTAAAGCGTTTTCCATTGTGGAGAGGGAAAGCAAAGCCAGGTTGCCCTGGAAACAAGTGCCAAGGAGGTGCCAGGGAGTTAGGAGATGGACTCTGGGTAGGGCCTGTCAACTGAGGCAAACAACAGCTGGTGCACGCCGGGGGAGCTGGGGCAGAGTAAGCGCAAGCGGGATGGGGCTTGGAAGCCATCTGTCGGAGGGACCCCAGGGTATTTGGCTTGTGGCAGCTGGGACTCGACCACCACGTGGGCGGGTCTCAGGGTTCTGGCCTCTGCTGCTCTCTAGTGGTGCTTTGGGAGAACCGCGCGAGAAACAGGTCCAAATGTGCATCTTTCTGCCCGGGCGTCTTCATTGAACGTGCCTCGCACATTCTCATTCTCATTCTCAATGCTCATTCTCTCTCTCTCTCTCTCTCTCTCTCTCTCTCTCTCTCTCTCTCTCTCTCTCTCTCTCTCCCTCCCTCCCTCCCTCTCTCTCTCCCCTCCCCTCCCCTCCCCTCCCCTCTCCTCTCCTCTCTCTCATTGCATTTCTCCCCTCTGTGTGTGTGTGTGTGTTGCATTTCTCCCCTGTAACTCCCATCCTTAAGCCTCTACCCTTACCAGTGGGAGAGGGAAGCCGTTGTGCATCTTTCCCGGCGTCCACCCCATGGGCAGGGAAACCCCGTCCTCGTACTGTGCTGGCAGCCAGCGCGCCAGAGCCTTGTTGGCAGCTCCCAGCATCGGGTTGTTCCTGAAACCAAACAAGATCTGCCCTCAATCTCAGCCGTACCTTCGGAATTTGCTTTTCCTTGAGCCCCCACGAGCCTGGGGAAAGCCCAGGAGCCTCTATCGTAAGGAAGACGCAAAGGAAATGCCTCTCAGAAGCAGGATTTCGGAATTACTCCCACCTGGGGTAATAGGTCTGGGGGCGTCAGAGACAGATTGGCACCGGATAGAGCAGGGTTCAGAGCTGTTGTACAGGGTCGCTGTGCTATGAGTCGCAAGCGACTCGAAGGCACTTGACAACAACAATAACTGGGGGAAGTGGTCTCAGGAGAGCCAGCTGGGGATGTGGAGCCTTTAAAAGGTGAGGGAAGGGTTAGTACAGAACAGACTCAGATGGGAGGAACAGGAATCCAGGAGGGCAAGGCAGAGGACGTCCTCTGCCTGGAAAGTGCAGGAGGCAAAGCACCAAGCAAGGCTGGACCGGTGGCTTTGGTGGCAGGCGAGGTGGACCTGGTGGTTCTGGGCAGGTCTGTCTCTGACCCCACTCCTGCCTGGTCACCTGTTATTACATTCTCCTGTAATGGTGCGATAAGGACTAGTATAGTTGCATTTCACCGCCGTGGCAAGGACATCACAGCCCACTTCTTGAGAAAGGAGGGCCAGGTGGAGGCTGGAGTCTGAAATAGAAGGGACCCAAAGGTGCTGATTTACATTTTCATGCTCCACCCTGCAGACATGCATTGTCCAGAGCAGGCTGGAATCCCCCTAATACAAGTGGTTCCCCTCACTCTCAGGCATAAATGGGTGACATCGGATTGAAACGAGGAATCCTATGTTTATTGACTTTCATAACTTCCTCTGTGCAGTTGTATAGTTGTCTTACTGACAATGTTGTACAAAGAATGCTCATGACCTCTCATTGACCTGCCTGGAGCGGAGTTCCCAGGTCTGCAGTAAGGGTTGGGCTTGATGTCCTGTAACCTGTACCTCAGCCTGCCAATCTATGAGTCCACAAAGGCAAAGCCAGGAAATGCCACTCCTGATGGCCTCTGCTCTCCCCTGCAGGCCCCTTGGGTGGTTGGGAAAGGAATGTGCTTGTTTACAACCTGAGATTTGGAGCACTGAACCCACCTAGAGGGTCTGAAGAAGAAACAGCTGGTGAGCTCCTTCTATAAAGATTCAGCCAAGGAAACCCTGTGGGGCTGTTCTACCTGGCAACATGGGGCCATCATGGCTTGGGATTGCCCTGAAGAGCTTGCCTGCCTGCTTACTCTCCCTTGCAGGGAGATGACCTCTTCCTGCCAGCACAGGGCTGGTGAATTTTCTGTACCTGTGATGTTGGAGAAGGCTGAGTTCTGTCTCAGTCTCTTTAGGGACTCCTCCCACACCTTCCCATTGCGAATGATCACTCGAGTCCGGCCTTTGGCATGCTTGAGATACTCTACGAGCTGTTGGGCTGTGGGATGCTGGGAGCTCAGGGAGGTCTTCACTCTGCAATAGAGAGCAATCGGTAAGTCATGGGGGCGGGGGGTCCTAGGCTCCAGTCCTGTAGAAGAGAGTTGGTGGAAGGTGGTGTATTCTCCACGGAGGGGACTAAATGAGAGCAACAGGTAGAAGCAAGTACCCCTTGTGTTCTCTGGACCTTTCCTTCATTTCTCTCTGATGTTCCTTGATCATCTCTTCTGGGAACTCGAAGCTACAGTGTGTCTCTAAGCTTTGCTAGGTATGGTCTTGAGGGCAAGCAGGATATGGGTGGTTCCTGGATTTGAATAATCTAACTGTGGTGGAACTGGCTATGGCAGAATCAACTGGCGCAACTTTAAAAACACACATTCCCAGGTCCTATTGAGTCAGATTTGGGGAACCCCTGACATGAACTGGCATCTCCTCCTGTCACGTGGGCTAGTAAGAAAGGAACTAGCTGCCTCTGAGCCTTCTGCCCGTGAAACGACCCTTGACTGTCCTGGGCCTGGAATCAGTGTGAAGTGTGTTTGGACGTGGCTTTGGCCAATAGCATCCAGCATATGGCAACCCTCTCTTGGACAAGATATCAAGCCTTTTTATTCATTTTCCACATGCAAAATGAGAATCCAAACCTCTTCTGTTAAAGAAGGTTGGGACAACCCAGAGATGACCAAGGGTCAGATGCTTCCAGAAAAGTCCTTTTGTGTGAACTTTCAATCCCTTTTCTGTGCCTCAGTTTCCTCATGTGTGTGTGGGTGGAGGGTCCGGTAAAGAACTTGGCTGTTAACCCGGTTTGAACCCACCAGCCTCTCTACAGAAGGAAGTCAGGGCAGTCTGCTTCTGTTAAAGATGGAAACCCAATGGGGCGGTTAGTTCTCCTCGGTCCTACCGACTCTGAGTCAGAATTGCTTCGAAGGCACTGAGGTTTGGTTTGGATTAGGGTTGGTGTTGTTCATTGCCATTGAGTCAGAACCAATTCAGAGATGACCCTTCAGAAGCCATCTTTCCCCCACAGAGCACCTGGTGGCTTTGAACCACTTGCATAAGGGTTGACAGCACAATGCCTTACCATTAAATCACCAGAGCTCCCTTTTTTGGATAGGTAGCACAAACTATTAGAACTTAATTATGAAACTAAAAGGGAGCTCAGGCCCATCGGGAGTTGCCAAAGCCTGTCTGGCAGTTCAAATCCACCAGCAGCTCCGGAGGGGAAAATGGGCAGTCTCCTCCCATGCTCTTTACAGACTCAGAAACTTCATATACAATTGATAGTGAGGTGATGGTTAATGAGTTGAAAACTAATCTAAAAATTGGAGCTGTGAACCCACCCAGAAGTGCCATGGTGGAAAGGCCTGGTGACCTGCTTCCATAAAGCTTTCGGCCATGAGAACCCAGCGGAGCAGTGTTTCTCTGTAACATTAATCATAACTCAGCCTCGAGTCAGAATGGATTCAGACAGATTTGTTTTTTTAGCCAGAGAACATCTGAGATGTCCGACGGCTCCAAGACTCTAAAATAATTGAAGTGGCTTGAGTGCCCCCAAAGGCAACTCTGCTTTTTGGATGCAATTCACAAACTTTAACACCTTTCCTGCCACTGCATGTCAGGTCATTATTCCGTGTTAGAGGGAGAGATTTCTCACACAGGTGAGCAGGGCAGGCATAGAGAAGACTCTCTGATAATTGGAGTCTCATCCCAGAGTCTACAGCTCCTGATTCCGCTGCAATTAAACACACAAATACAAAAACTCTAAGGAATAAGCAACTTTGTCTTTTGCTACCTTTTTTGCAAGAGACAGAATTGATGGCCCACACTGCTTCACTGTCCCATATGATAGGGACCAGCCCAACGTGGCTATTAAAATGGAAACGCATTAAAGTGAAACAAAATGAAAAACTACATTTCTCAGTTGCAAAACCACATTGTAGGTGCACAAAAGCCACACATAATTAATGGCTATTCTGCTAGCCAGAGAAGCTATGGAACATTTTCACCTTTGCAGAAAGTTCTTTGAGACAATACAGGTCTAGAGTTTGGGTCTGCAGAAAAACAGACTTCATTTTAAACCCTGGTTCTACCAAGCCTGGTTTAATTTATATGGCCTCTGGGTACCCTGCCCCTCATTTAGGAACTGGAAATCATTACATCACTTATGCCAGAGACTTACTTGAGTGTGAACTTTGACACAGACAGGCCAACTGGCACCTCTCTGTAAAGCCCAGTTTTCTTACTATAATATCAGAAAAGATCCTCTGTCAGGGTGTGTGGGTGTGTGTGCTACGTTCTCTGCCCTCTCACACGCCCTAGGCTCTTTGGGGTTCCTTACCAAGGCATTGATTCATCAATCAGTAAATCAACCATTAAATCAGAGATTTACTGTCCTTTTTTGCAGTAGGGATGGGCTTCTCTCAAGTAGGGTTTTGTGAGTTTCTGTCCATCCCTCTGTCTCTACCCTAGCCCATGCCACCATCCCCTCAACCTGAACCATTGTTACAGCCTCCTACCTGGGCACCCTGCCTCCTTTCCTGTCTCCCTCCCAGTCATGCACCACACATATGTGGTGATCTTTTTAGAATGAAAATCAGACCCTGGCATTGCTGTAGTTGAAGCTCTTTGGGGACTTTTCCTGACATCTAGCCCTAGGGCCACTCTCTACCCTGGCTTTCTTTGTTTCCAGAGCGCCACAGCTCCTCTCTTGCCTTGGGCACTGAATGCCATCCCCTGGCCCTTAGATTATGGCTCTGTCTCCCTTTCCTGCTCACTTCCTTGAATTCCTGCCAACAGCGCACCCCTTGCTCTGCCCTTTTCCTCCTTCATCCTTATCTCAAACGGTTAGATTATTTGTGTGGTTGCATAAGAGGAAGTTCTTAAATCTAAGAACAAAATTATGGGCACTGTATCCCCACATTCCAAAGCAGGGGTCCTGTAGCCTTTCAAAGACTTGCAAAGGAGATAGAAAAACATCAATCTTATGCCTTTTCTTCTGCCTGTCACCTTGGGGCTGTGAAGGGAATGAAGTGAAGGAGTGAAAAGTTTTTCATAAGCAGAGAGTTGCTGGAATGTTGGGCCTCCATCCCTCATCAAAGGATCTCCCCTTCACCTTCAGCTGAGTGAGGAGACCCTAAGAAGACCGGTCACTGACGATGAGAGAGCTTGGCGTTTATTCTGGAGTCTTGACTCGAGTTTGTGAACTAATAATTTTCATTGTTACTGAATGATTCCAATTCTTGTGACCTTATAGAACTTCTCCACAGGGTTAGTGCTTGGGTGCTGATCGAGAAATCAGTGGTTCTAACCCACTAGCACTCCGTAGTAGAAAGGTGTTGTATCTGTTTCTACAGAGACTTGCAGCCTTTGGGAACACTGTGAGGTAATTTCTTGTAAGATTGCTATGAATTTGGGTCAATTCAGTGGCAATGGATTTCTTCGCCTCTGTGAATAAAGTCACTAGTAAGTCATTCATTTGTGGGAGAAACTAAGATGATCTGCTAGGAGGCATTCTGAGACTCTGGAACACATGACCCAGGGCAGTATCAGCCACGCAGGAGAAAGTTCTTATAGGATTAGAATAGATGTCTTCTCAAGGGTAATCCACAAGGTTTGAGGAGTTGTGGGCTATTGTTCTTAGTTGCCACATACTTAATGGTGCCTGGAAAGGCAAGTTTTCAAATTGCTTTGGATCACTGGCTTGTCATGGCTGAGCCAGCAGGAAGGCTGGGTGAAGAAAAGTGGTATGTGTTCATGCGTGTCTCACGTACCTGATTCGGGCATCCAGGAAGGCCTTGTTCACTTGAGTCCTGACCTGACTCACAGCATCGGAGATGGCAGCAGCGGTGGTGGTCTGTGCTGTGAGTGGGAGAAGCAGGGGGCAAGCCATCAGGAACCATGTCTGTGCTGTGCCCTGGACCTCTCCCTCCCTCTTTTCCAACCATCACTCCCACCCTGTGTGACACCTTCTGAGAAGTCAGAAGATTAAGATTATGAAACTTCCACGAGAGTTCCAGTCAATGCTCCAGAGGGGTGGAAAACAGCTTAGAATGGGAAGAATGATGTCTAGTGATAAGATGTCAAAGTTACTCCTTATGATTCCATCAGGGTACACAGGGATGAGACCAAGAGTGTGACCACTCAGGTTGACTCAGCAACTGGGCTGAGGGGATTTTGTTGGCTCCTGGTCCATGGATCCCTAGGCAAGACCGTCAGAGAGCTGAACTGATAACCAGGACCCTGAAGTAGTAATGAGATGACAGGTAAGGGTAGAGGTGAAAACCCTTGTTTTCACTCATATTGGAGTCTGGGGTGAGGAGAACAAGATGCATGCTCTAAATCGGTAGAATGTAGTACGTTGAAATGTTGTTGTGTGCCATTGAGTTGGAACTGACCTATAGGTGACCCTCTGCTGGGATTTCAGAGGCAGTTAATCATACGGGAGGAGACTGTCCATCCTTCTCCTGCGGAGCAGCTGGTGCATTTGAACTATGTGCCTTCAGGATGACACTAACTTACACTAACCACTAGGCCAGTGTCCTCCAAAAGGTCGTGTTCATTCAGAATGCATGTCATTGTAGTTGGAAGCAAGGTCTTTGTGGATTGATGAAGCTGGTTAAGAAGCGAGCCTACTGGTTTTAGGTGGACCCCAAATGCAATGCCTGGTGTCTTTATAAGGAGAGGAAAGGACCCACAGAGAAGAAGGCCCTGTGAAGACAGAGACAAGGACTAGAGTGATCCAGCTTCAAGCCAAGATTGCTGGAAGATACTAAAAGCAAAGAGGAGGCAAGGGGAGGACCCTCTCCTGGAGCCGAGAGAGAGAGAGAGAGAGAGAGAGAGAAAACAGTCTGCTAATAGCGGAATTCTGGACTCTTGGTCCCATAAACCATAAGCAAGTACATTTATAGTGTTTTAAGTTCTCCAACTTACAAGAATTTGTTACTGCAGACACAGGGAAAGAATATACTTACCACTGACAGCAGACACTGCAGCCTGGAACAAGATCACAGATGCCAGGAGGACTGGGTGATGCAGAAGGCCTCTTACCACTGAAGTGAGACCCCAAGGCATACTTGTGAGTCTTGCAAAAGCCCGGTGGAAAGGACTGGAGCACAGAAATCTGGGGCTGGTAAAGCAGAGACAGTTTAGGGAATACCTAACACCCTCATGTTGAGAAACTATATAAACTAAGGAAATGTCTACCACACGTCCAGGCAATCATTGTGTGCCGGAAGAGAGATATGCGTTGGTGGTAGATGGGCAGAAACACAGCCTTTTGAGGGAGGCAGCACTGGGTTTTAATGCAGCACTTATCTAATTAGCTTCATGACTTTGCACCCACTGTTTATTAACCTCTCTGGACAACTCACTTGCTGAGAGAGGGGCTCAGACCAAGTGATCCAAGATCCTTCCTTCCACTTAGGACACGTTCCTCCCTGTAAACCAGCCTACTCTGGTCCTGTACCAGAGGCACAAGCTTGAGCGGTGGGCACCCAGTTCTTTCTCTCGGGAAACTTGAGTACCAGGCTTTGCCTCTTTTCCAGAGCCAGTTGGATGGAAGAGCATGAATGAGCGTTGTGATAAAGCTCAGAGCATCCCTGAACCTTTGGTGGAGTCCTAGGCTGCCTGGAAAGGTGCCAGCTGTAAGCTTGACCTTTCATCAGGAGCTTTAACTCTGCGCCAGAATCACCTGGACTAAAATTCATGAAGCTTTGTGGTCTGAAGATGAGTGTCCACTAGACTTGGTGAAGTTGACCCCAAAACTTAGCAGACTTCTCTGACTTGACCACATCGAGTAGTTGCTGGGGGATCTTGTGGCATGCGGATTCTGACTCAGTGGGCCGTGGAAGGGGCCTGAAAGTCTCCATTTGCAAGAAATCTCAGATGATACCAAGGTTGTTGGTCTACAGACCATACTCTCAGCACTGAAATCTTGCAGTGCTTGGCACTCAGACCTACCTGTGAGAGGGTGTAGGAAAATGCAAGGAGGCAAAGGAGGAACAGGATTCTTTTCCAGGAACAGAAAAAGCTCTGTTGAGGATGAGGGGATGGATCAATACCAGAGCCAAGAGACACCCTGTCAAGCACACCCTGATTGATCTTCTGAACAGCTCCAGGATCAAGAGAAAAGTGGAGAGGAGTTAGTTGCAAACACATCCTCTACAGCAGAAACCATCTTTTACCTTAGCTCCAGGATTTGGGATTTCTGATCATGTGAAAAGCCATTACAATTTCCCCATTCTGTTCACCCAATTCATGCACATGAGGGCCAGGTGGCTAAAGGCATTTGAGACTCCTGTGGTTAGAAGTTCAGAGCTGGCTAGCTGTTCAGATACGCTGCAGAGAGCAGGCATGAGATCCTGGGAATGGGATGAAGATCTGAGACTTCTCACTTAGGACCCCAAATTTCCACCACAGAGGAAATGATACTACAGCAGTCTCCAGAACCCCACACAGAACCCGAGTTCGTCGCTTCTTCCTCCCACTTTTGGTGAGATCCTGAACATGTGGTATCTCCTCCCTGGACCTCTTTCTCTAATCAGGTTGAGTGGAAGATGTTTATGGTGCTTTCCAGACCACAGTCTATGATTCTGTGACTCCATTTTCAGGCCCTCAAAAGGTTCTCTTGCCTCATAATAAATGCATTCATGTTCTTTGATATCAAACAGAGACCGACCTACAAGTCAAATCTGGGAGCAGAGAATGCTTCCTTCACAGGAAGGTTAAGGGCAAATTCAGTACGAAGATTTCTGAGAAGAAGCCTTTAGGAAATTTCATCATCAGCTTCACAGAAACCAGGAAAACTAAAGTTAATGTGTCTTACCTGCCAAGTGCCGTGGCCTCTTGCAGCGAACAGGTGGGTTGTTCTGCCTTTAGGAACTGGTCTTTTATACCTTCTGGCAATAATTAATCCTAGGAAAGTCCCAGAGGAAAAACACTGAGGTACTGATAGAGAGGAGGTACTCAAGTTCAGCAGGAAACCCCAGCCCAGTGACTCCAAGCTGATGCACAAGGAAACTGCAGAATGGCAGTGATTGGTTGATGCTGCATCTGTGAGCAACTCCCCATCTTTCTATTTTCTGGACCTGTTCTCATCACAGGAGCCCTGGTGGCACAGGTTAAAGAATCCTGCTGGTTAACCAAAAAGTCGACAGTTCAAACCCACCAGCCACTCTGTAGGAGAAAGAGGAAACAATCCGGTTCTGTAAAGATTGACAACCTTGAAAACCCTCTGGCCTGTTGTGTTCAGTCTCACAGGCTCCCTATGGAGTCTCCTCAGTGGCTGGGGTGGTGGTGCATTGTTTGGTAGGGCTTACTCCCAGGATGGAAGACAAACCCCCAAGTCTACAGCACACTTGTCTCTTGTACAACCTTAATGGGATCCGAATAGTTCTTAAAATTAGGAACCCATTCATGTATTCATTGCTGTCAGAATATCTAATTATCTTTCACTCAATTCACTGTCCATTCCAATGGATTTGTCTTGTTAATGGAAAATGATTAGAAAAATATTTATTCTTTTCTCTCCAACACCAAAACACTGGCTTTTTAATATTTTTTTAACCACTAGAGAAGTGGGAAGAGCTTTGGACTTACCAGCAGAAGGGAAGGTTCCAGTCTTTCATCTGTCAATAATCCATTGCGTGCCTCTGGACCCCGGCTTCTGGTGCCTCCATTTTTCTAATTGTAAAATCAGTGATTGGTTTAGATGATTGTTAGACTTCATGCCTTCTAGAGGTGGTCCGTGGGGAGAGGTGAGAACACCAATATCCTGAAAAGTATTTATTTAAAAACACAAGTGAAATGTTCCATGCCATTCCTACTGCAAAGATTTGAAAAAAGTCTGGTTCATCAGACTTCTCTGGGCAGGAAACAAGATGACTCAGAGAAAAGAAAATTTTATGAAAAGGTATTTTATAGGTAATTTAACATGTAAGGCTCTTTAAGAATTGTAGTTTGAGTAGAAATGCTCTGGGGGGACTACCAGAAATTTATCAAGCCCAAACCCAACCCCTTTAGACAAAGTGATATGTCTTTTCTCCAGTCAGTGGAATAGAATTAAAAGCTGCTGCTTTTGTCATAAACCAGGCTTCTGAGCCAGGTACTGAGGAGACGGCAGCTGTCCAGGAAATCTGAATCAGGGACTTAGACTGTTCTTATTTTCTTTGAAATACATTTCAGCTCCCTAGTCAAACATTGTTTTCCTTTATCTGACCTCTCCTTGAACTTTATAGCTTGCTTCTCAAAGTTTTTTACCTTATACTTTGTGGGAACATTGAAGATTTATCTTTACATGGATCTTGGCTCAGTGGGTCCCAAGTTGTTTCAAGATGGAATGTCTCTCTAGAACACTGTCCAGCACTGCCTTCTTGTATGCAGTAGCCACTGGGTCCCTGGAATCAGGGTAACAACAAAATGCAGCTCTTCACCCTGGGTCGTCATCACATTCTGACAAGATGTGGTTGGTATGTCCTGGATTTGACCTTACTGTGGCAGGCAAGAATGGGCAGTATCAACTCCAGTGCTGCAGGTTCCTTCCTTTGGTCTTGACCTGAAGTGTGTCTAGAGGCAGCTACAATGTCCAGTGGCTAATTTGTATGTTCGGAGCATTGCTGATATCTCATGACATCTTTTCATGGGTCTTAGTTTAGTCAAATCTTCTTAGCATCTCCCCATTAGGGAATGCCAAATTGACTTGAGACATGGAGACAGGAGGACAGAAAGTCTAGCTGAAAGCTGGAAAAAAAAAGAATAGCTTCTCATCTGCTGGTACAGGGACTCCAAGCTACTTTATCAATAGACGTGGCTGCCTGGAATACTCAACAAAGATTCCTTGCTTACACATAGACACACGCACACACACACATGCACACTCTCCAGGGATTCACCATTTAGAAATGGCACTGGCTTGGGACATGGTTGGCTCCCCTCCATTTCCTTCCACAAGTGCAATCTTGTATAGTCTACATGCAAACTTTGGTTGCATAAAGAGACATTCAGGGACAGTGACAGAGTGACCACTCTGTTTGCATGAGGTAATTAAAGCTCATCTCCTGGACCCCAGTCTCCATTTCAGATGCCATCCTCATCGGAGCCTCGCCAGTTCCTTCCTTGGCTGACTGTTTTCACCCACCTCGTCTTTCACCTTGGCTGTCATCCACAACTCTAGGGTTTGATTTATTCTCTTCCTCTCCTGGATGAAACTCATTTCCTTATTGATTGCCTGGAACAGCACACAAACAGACTTCTTGTTCTGAGGATGGCCACGCGCCAGGGTTACCCTCTTTGGCTGTCGTCCACGTCTTTTATTGCAGGAAAAGGAGGAACTCTTTTTAAAATTTTTATTTTATTTTATTAATTTTAGTGAACGTTTACAGAGATTTTGGATTTCCATTTATTCATTGTTGCATTTTTTTTTCTCCCTGCCCCCCCCCCCACCAGTTCCCTCCTCTCTTTGAAAAGTAAAAGAAAAATTCTTTCATTGGTATGCAATCCCCCTCCCCCTCCCCAAGTATACTCAGCTCTGCAACCTTCATTCTGGACTCTTGTCATCACCATAATACCCAAATAGATATCGCTTTTAAACAGTTCTCTCCCTCATCTGTTTCAATGCAGTATGCATAATTTAGCCAGTTTTCCTCAGTCTCACCCCAACCCTGATGTCAGTCCTGTTCTACAACAGTGGCACTATGCAGTATTTGTTGGAAAGGAGGAACTCTTGTGCTGTGGTCTAAGCAAGCCCTCTTCTCTCCAGGGATGTGAAGATGGTAAAGCTTCTCTGAATGGTCCTGGAGCAGTGAAAGCAGCTGAGAAGGGATGGGAATGTTGACAGACATTATAGAGAAGATGGATGAGTGGAAGAAAGAAAGATATGGGTTTGGTGCCTCCTTCAGCAGGCAAAAAAAAGCCTTTATTGTCTTCTCCAAGTGTGTTTTTAGTGGAAGGATTTATTGATGGCTTGGTAGCTTCTGCCATGGGGATAATAACAACTGTTCTGAGTGGAGTGCTTGGGTGGTGCAGGTAATGTGCTGAAAGTGTAAAGACTTTT